TTATTAAAAGTATAATTAAATCTTTTAATATAATAAATATAATTAATATAAGCATTATTATAAAAATTATATAAAGAATAATAATTAAAAAAGGAGATTATAATAAGAATATTTTTATTTATAATTAAGGAAAAGTTATAATTTATATATTTTAAGTAATACTTATAAAGGAAAGTATTTTAATAATTATAAAAAGTTATAAGTAAAGTTATTTAATAATAATAATTAAAGTAATTATATATTATTATTATATATTTTTTATAAAAAGCTTTATTATTTTTCTTAATAATAATAATATTTATATAACTTTTAATTAAATTCTTAATAGTATTTAAAAATTACTTTTTTATAACTTATTAAGAAATTTATTAAATAAAGTATTAATTTTATTTAATATTAATAATTTTATATATATAAATGCTTTTTATAAAAGTATTATAAAGAATAATTTTAATAAATTAATTTTTATTAAGAATGCTTTTTAACTTAAAGGAAATATAAATATTTTTAATTAAGACTTATTTTACTTATAAGTTATAATAAATAACTTAAAAAAGAAAAAGGGAATTTTTTAATATTAAACTTTTTAATTTTAATTAAAAAGGGTTTAATAATAAAGATATTATTATAAAAAGATATTTAAAAATAAAAGGATTATAATATATTGCTTTAATTTTAACTTAATTTAAAGGTTAATTAAAGTTAAAAAAATATTAAAAAAAAAAAAGGAAAAAGGAATTTAAAGAAGGAAAGGAAATTTATATATATAAAGTTGCTATAATAAGAGGAAATAAGTAATATTAATAATAAATTACCTTATCTTTAAAAGAAATAATTTATTACCTTGCTTTTAATTAAAATTAATTTATTACTTAAAAGGAGTTATTTATCTTTAATTCCTTACTTATAAAAAAGTTATTTATCTTTTTATTATAAAGGAATTTTAATTAAGTAACTTATTTTAATTTATATTTAATAAACTTATAAATTAAAAGGAAAGTACTTTATAATTAATTATTATTTAAGAAAAATAAAAAATTATATATTTTTTTTACTTTAATTATTAATAAAATAATAAATTAATAGCTTTTAATAATAATTTATAAGCCTTTTTATTACTTTTTTTTAATTAATATAATTATTTAATTTAAAAATAATAAGTTATTAGCTTTTATTATTTTAAGCTTATATATATTGCTATATTTATTTATTTATAATTAAGCTTTCTTTTAATTTTTTTTATTTTATATAATTATTAATTAAAGATTAAAGGTTAGCTATTATTTAGCTATTTTAATAAAAATATATTTTTAATATATTAATTTCTTTTTTTTAAATTTTTTTTAAAGATAAATTATAATTATTTATAAAAGCTACTTTAAGTTATAATTAAATATTAATTATATCTTTTTTTTATTTTTAATTCTTTTTATTTTAATTACTTATATAATAACTTTTAAAAGTATAAAGCTTTTTTTATTATTATACTTTCTTTTTTTATTATTTAACTTTTATTATTTATTCTTTATTTTATTATTTATTTTTTTTACCTTATTTTTTTATAATTAAAAGCTAAGATATTTTTTAATTAAAAAAATAAAATAAAAAAAAATTTTAATTAATTTTATATTATAAAATATTTTAAAACCTTAATGCTTTAATTTTAATAATTAAACTTATTATTTTAAAAAAAATTTTTATATTAATAATTATAAAACTTTTTTACTTTAATAATTTTAAAAACCTACTTAATAAAGCATTATAATTCTTAAATATTATAAATATATAAAATTAATAAAATTTTACTTAAAAAGTAAATATTAATTTTTTTAAAAATTCTTTTAAAATAAGAATTATTATAAATAAAGTTTATTTAAATAATATTTAATAAACTTAAACTCTTAATTATTTATTATTCTTTAATATAAAATAAATAATATTTAATAATAAGCTTATAAAGATAATATAAAAATATTTTTTAAGCATTAATCTTTATTTTAAGCTAAGAAAATTAATTAAATTAATAAACTTAATAAAATAATATTAAGTTTTTTTACTTTTAATTTCTTTAATATAAAAAAAATGCTTTATAAATATAAAGAATTAAAAACTTAATATATTATAACTTTTATAATTTAATAGCTTTTTAACTTTTAAGATATTATATTTTTATTTAAAAAACCTTTATATTATAATTATATCTTATTTATAAAATATTAATAATATAAATTAATAAAGGATTATAAATTTATTATTATATTTATTTATATATTTAATTATTAAATAATAATACTTTTTAATAAAATAAAAAATTATTATTTATTATAAAATAGTTTTATATTAATAAATAGGAATAGCAAGATAAATAAGAATATTAAAGCGCTTATTTATAAATATTTAATAATTATCTTAAAGAATAAAATATAAAAATTTAATAAAAAGTTTGCATTAAAATTAAAATAAATTAATAATATATTTTATAAATAATATATTATTAAATTTATTAAAAATTACTTTAAGGAAAATTAAGGAAAGAATAATTAAAAAATATAAAATTAAGCTAAGGCTGCTTTAATTAAAATTATATATTTTAAAATATTTAAACTTCTTATTAATATTATTATTTAAATATTTACTATTTAATTAAAGCTTAATAAAATTAATAAAGTTATTTAAATATTTATATTAATTTTCTTTATTAAAATTAATAATATAAAAGTAATTAAAGTAAAAAATAAGCTTTTATTATAAAGGGAAATTATTTAATAGCAATTATTTAAATTATAATATATTAAAATTATTATTAATTAAAAGAAAGGTATAAGAAAAATAATATCTTTAATATAAATTAATTTAATAATTTAATTTTAAATATTTAATATATAATAAGGTATAAACTTTTATATAACTTAAAATTAATTAAGTAAAACTTTAATTAAATAAGCTTTTAGCTTAAATATTATATTATAAGATATTTTAAAATTAATAAAAAATAATTACCTTAATATATATAAGGATTGTTCTTACTTATCTTTTTTAATAATAAATATAAATAAAATTTAAAGCATATTAATTAATCTTAAATAATTAAAGTAATAATTAAGTTTATTTAAAAATAATTTAAAAAGTTTATAAGTAAGTTAACTAAATAATTAAATATAAGGCATAAAACTTAAAAGTAAAAGCTTTATAAAAAGCAAAAATAAAAGTTAATAAAGCTAATATATTATGCTTAATATAATAATTAAAAGAAAAAATAAATTTATTTTTTATTTTATAAAAATATTTAAATTTTTAATAACTATATTAATATTAATTATTAAATTAAACTTTAATAATTAAAAAAATATAATTAATAAATATATTATTAAGTAAATTTTAAAAATATTTAAAGCTTTTATAAAAAAATAAAAGTTATAATAAAATAAGTAAGCAAGGGATTAAAAATAATAATAATAATTAAAATTATAATAAGGTAAATTTTAAAACTTAAAGGCTTAATTAAAGGTAATAAGGTTTTATTTTAATGGTTTTTGCAATACTTATTATAAAGTGCTTAAAAAAGGGTATATTAATAAGGATAGGGAAATATATAAAAAATAATATTACATTAAATTTTAATTAATTATAAAAAGCTAGCTTTTATGCTTATTTTAAATATTTTTAAAGAAATTAACTTTTTCTTTTTATATATATTTAATGCTTTAATTAAGCTTTTTTTATTTTTAAGAATTTTTAAAATACTTATTTTTTCCCTTCTTTAGCTTCTTTTTATTTTTATCTTCCCTTTTTATTATATTAAAGCTTTTTCTTAAGTTATCCTTAAAAGGGTTTAGCAAAACCTATCCCTTATTTGTTTGGGTGGCTTGTTTTTAATAATAAATAAATAAGTTAATAAAAAATAAATAAATAATTAAATTAAGGATAAGGAAAAAAAAGCTCTTTTTTTATTTCTTATATTAAGAATTAATATTATATTACAGCATATTAAGAATAACTATATGTTAATAATATATAAATAATGCAAGGCATATAAAAAAACATACTGTTAGAACCTTAACAGTATATCACTATTATGTTACTATTCTATTGACTTGGTTGCAGCACCTAAACAAAACCCCCCCTCCCCCCTGGTAGGTTAGCAAGAGAGTAGCCCAGCCCAGTTTATCACATCAACAGGTCCTGAAATCGCCGGATGTGAACACAACTTGACCCAGCCCAGGCCAAGTTCCTGATTCAGCTGCTACAAGGATCATTGCCAAGCCGTCATAGCCGACCAAGGAAGGCACTCTCCTTCATGTGTCTTACGAGCAAATTCTATAAAGCCCGGTGACAGCTTGATCCATGCAAGCCTTCCAACTTCGACCTTGGGCAGAGCGAGTAGAAATCCTTTCCCGTTTTGGTCCAGGTCTGCTTGAAAGCCTCCAGGGCATGATACACTGCAGTGGGCACATTTCTGGAGTCAGCACATCTGAAGCAGGAAGTCCCTGGCTTGACTCAACGCCTGCAATTTGTTCGGTTTTGCCAGCATGAATACACTGCATCGACTCGAACAGTTGGGCAAGACCTGCTTTGCATGTTCGGGCCGCATGGTAGATGTAGTAACTCGTGGGTGGTGTGTAGGCGAGCGGGGACACTGGCTTGGAGAGCGACGCAAACACGCGCGGCGCTTAGCAATCACCGAAAGGGCGAGAGACTGGCTGAGGGTAAAGAGGACAGTGGACTGGCTTTCAGAACGGGCAGGCTCCGGAGGAGGAATGATCGAAGCGGTTATCAAGTGTAGTGAGTACCTCGGAGATAGGTACCCAGGTACTTGTTTGCAATTTATCTTATCCGTGCTTATCTTATCGCCGCCCAATTTTTTTGAAGCAGAGACCCCTCCATCGTCCACCAAGGTGTCTTGCCTGCTGATTTGAGCCGCTTCAACCTCACATACAAGTTGTTGCATTGCCCCTGGCTCGACTCTTGTCTCCTCAAGGCACGATTGAAGCATCGACACCATGTCCAAGCGTGCAGGAGAACACGATGACGGCCCCTTGAAGGGTGGCCACCGCCCAGACGCCATGGACATTGACGACAAGGCCGACGACGGCATGGGCGAATTCGAGGACGAGTTCGAGGACGAGTTCGAGAGCGAGGACGAGATCCTCGAGGCCGGTGTCGATGGCAGGCCAGATGCTGAGAGGGAAGCAGAGGAGAAAGCAGGTGGGTTGCGCCGCGACCGTCCCATCGCGAAGCTCGTCGAGGAAGGCTGCGACCAGACGAGACATGAGACAACCCGCCGGGTGGGGCCACCATGACTGATGATCCTCCCTCGTGGGCAGCCGCAGGAGAAATGGACGTCGACAGCGCCGCCACGGGGCCCGGCACATTCATCGTCGGCCGTACAAAACTCGAGCCCGGCCAGACTCTGGCGCCCGATCCGAGCACCTACCACATGCTTCACAACCTTTCCACCCCGTGGCCCTGCCTCTCCTTTGACATCATCCGCGACTCCCTCGGCGACAACCGCAAGGTCTATCCCGCCACCATGTACACTGTCTCGGGCACCCAGGCCGAAGGGCAACGTGCCAACGAGAACGCACTGATGGTCATGAAGTTCGCTGGCCTGAGCAGGATGGACAAGGACGGCGAGGACAGCGATGACGAGGAAGACGACGATGACGACGAGGATGCTGATCCCATCCTGGAGTCCAAGAGCATTCCTCTGTCCTCGACTACGAACCGCATACGCGCCCACCAGACTCCCAACTCGGACCCCTCCAAACCTCCCACCACCCTCGTCGCGACCATGACCGAGTCCTCCGACGTCTACATCCACGACATCACGCCCCATCTCTCCAGTTTCGATACGCCTGGGGCTGTGGTCTCCGACAGGCAGAATAAGCCCCTCTCTACGATCCGCGCCCACAAGTCAGAAGGCTATGCCGTCGACTGGTCGCCCTTGTCGCCGGCAGGGAAGCTTGCGACCGGCGACAACAACGGTGTCATCCACGTGACGACTCGCACTGATGGAGGTGGCTGGGTCACAGACACCAGGCCCTTCACAGGCCATACTGGCAGCGTGGAGGAGATCCAATGGAGTCCGAGCGAGGACAAGGTCTTTGCCTCAGCATCGTCTGACGGCTCCATCCGCATCTGGGACGTGAGGAGCAAGAGCCGGCAGGCCATGATCACGATGCAAGTCAGCAGGACCGACGTCAACGTCATGAGCTGGAGCAAGCAGAGGTCCAACCTGCTGGCCTCCGGGGACGATGACGGGGTCTGGGGTGTGTGGGACCTGCGGCAGTGGAAGCCCAACGCCACCGAGAAGCCCACGCCAGTCGCAAGCTTCGACTACCACAAGGAGCAGATTACGAGTGTCGAGTGGCACCCCACCGACGACAGCATCGTTGCCATCGCGGCCGGCGATAACACGGTCACGCTGTGGGACCTCGCTGTCGAGCTGGATGACGAAGAAAGCAAGGACACCGCAGGCGTGAATGATGTGCCGCCCCAGCTGCTGTTTGTGCACTACCACGAGCAGGCCAAGGAGCTGCACTGGCACCCCCAGATTCCTGGGGCCTTGGTTGCCACGGGTCAGGAGTTCAGCGTCTTCAAGACAATCAGTGTCTGAGCGGGCGACGGGACCCGTTTCGCAAAGGCATTCGACAGTCCAACGGCCCAGGGAACAGGAAAATGCAATAATGATACCAGTCGATTCAGCGCACATCACTTGGAATCGGAATTTAGACGGCCCACTGTGAAGAAATTGGGACAAATCAGGCCGCTCAGATTTTCTCATGTTCAGTCGTTGATTGATCGTCATCCTTTGGCCCCGTCAACCCAGCCCCCCAACACCATTCCACCAGGCCACCTTGCCACGTGAAGTATGCCATGCATGTACAAAAGGGCCACGGACGCTCAGCAGGTGTTAAGCATACTCGTCAGAGCCGTCTTCTCTGCGCTGCTAATCGTCAATTTGTAGTAGTACTTGACCTGAACCCAGCTCCTCGCGTAGACACAGTAGAAGGTGGACAGCGGCGGCTTCCAATTGGCGGGGTTCTTGTCACCCTTGGCCTGGTTCACATTGTCCGTTACGGCCCAGAGCTGAGGCCGGGTCACATCGTTGGCAAAAGCCTCACGCTGGGCAGTGGTCCAGGCGTTGGCCCCAGACTGTGTCATTGTCAGTTGCGTTCGGTCCCTCGGTGTTTGCCGGCAGGGTACATGTGAGAGACTTACGATCCAGGCATTCTTCAGCGGGACCATGTGGTCGATGTCTACGTCGCTAGCTGCCGTCCAGGTCGCACCGTCGTATGGGCTGAACCACGACCCAGACGTAGCAGTGCAGGCCGAGCTGACGACGACGTTGGTGCCGTCACGCTTCAGGACATACTCGCTGGGTGACAGAGCGGACAATATCAGCCTCGACTGGTCAAGTGGCCGGCAGACAGGGTGGGTTCCTGCACGGAAAGAACAGACTTACCGAGTGTTGCAGGTGCCCTCTATCGTGTCCCACGTGGGGAACAGGTCCCTCTCATAGTTCCCGTCGTCCGTCTGCGTGGCGACTGTGAGAGCCGCCAGCTGGGTCTTGGCCGTAGATGCTGTAGGGATGCCTGGCGGTGTTGGCATGGGCGCCGGGGCCGCCGAGACAATGGCCACAAGGCCGGCAAGACCTGTGAGGAGGGAAGTCGAGGCCTTCATGATGATGAGGATGACGATTGACCTTTTACTGTTCCTTTGCCACAAGTCGAGAGGCTCAACTGGAGGTGTTGGGGGTCAAGGAGACTGCTGCTCGTAGACACCTGGCGCGCATGTTGAAGGCATTGAGCGGGCGTACAGGTAGATATACATGTTGCTTATTACAATGCGTGAATGTATGTGTGTGTGTGCCAATATATGAGGCCTTCGACTGCCCTCGCAGTGCCTGTAGGCCGGCACACATGATTGCACACTCGTCCTGATGGTCATCTCGCTTGCGACTGCACCTCGAGTCAAGACGCTATGGCATCCACGTGCCGACAGCCAACGAAGATAAGCACGCGGTCCGGCACAGCACAGGTCGGTGTCTCGTCTTGAACTTTTGATATCCCAGGTGGACATCGCAAGACTTGGCATCTCCGGCCCATCCAGTGGTGTTCGTCGCTCGCGCGTTCGCCAAGACTTTGACACCGATGCAATGCTACCAGAACCGGATGAACAAAATGTGAAACAGACCAATACCGTGACGCGGTTGGGGCACGACCTATCCCAACATGGGAAGCTGGTCAAGCCTCGGCGGGTCGGGCTCGGAGCCGACAGGTCATTAAGCTTCATTCCAAGGTTATACTGTCGCTCGGCAGTAGATCACAATCACTGATATGGGACGGGAGTCAGGGGCCACACTGAGCTTCCTCTTCTGGACTGAGATCCGCCTGCTGCTTAGCAGACCCCAGGTATGCCGGCAGTGCAACACCGGTATCAACATTCCTGTTCAGATAAGGAATGGCTGAATGGGTACGGCAGCAGTCTGACTGTCTGGCTGACTGGCCATTCTGGTCATCCATACGGAGCAGTGGGACAAAGCACCAGCCTCCCCCCCCCCTCGTGCTGGTCAAGGATACTTCCCGTTCCGCTAGCAGCTGAAAGATCGGTGTAACGATAGTAGCCTTCCCATGTAGGAACCTATATGTCAGAATACAATTAATTACAGTACCTAGCATATCTCCAGCTCGAGCTACGCATAGTGCAGGCTGCTGCTCATCACGTCGCCTCATCATGCACCACCCAAGCCAATATACCTCGGACAAGTTTAGACATTTCGAGTGATATAGCCCGATGTCCGTGTGTTCTCTCCCATCCTTTCTTACACACCATACCACACCCACTGGGAAGCAGATGCATAGCTAGCTGACTTGGCTGCGGAAGATGTTCTGATTCTAGGAAGGTAGTAAGGAACACCACAACATACTGAGCAGTATAATAGCACAGAATACTGCTGCATCAATCGCGGTGTTCGCTGTCGTGTCTGATAGGAAGTCGGCGGTTTCCGCTTGAGGCATTCTGGACAAATGTACTCTACGATCGTGTGCGGTAACGGGATGTGCACTAGTTACAACTCGTAAGCTCCGTCGTCTCGCAGGTCACGTACTGGCCGCGAAAGATCAAGACGCTTAACTCTGGCTTCTCTTGCATGGACCTAACGTTAAATATAGTCTGGTAGGATATCAGAAAGTCATTCGTTGTTGCTGTGGTGTGCTAATTCCCTACTGCCAGATTCGTGTGATCTGATAGCTCTGGTTCTCGTCATCAACTCTCGGGCCCTCCTGTTCCCCAGCGAAAACAATCGCCCTCAGTACATCGCAGATCAAACCAATCCACCGCGACATCAGCCTGCACAGGGATGTTGTGTGGGACATTCAATGCACTATACGCCTCGAACCAATCCTCATCTCCATGTACGTATTTGGTCCAGTTCGCGAGGGGTGTGTCTTGGGTCGTGGCCGTGGGTGTCTGGCTCAAGCCAAACACACCCGTCCACTCCTTGATCTCCTCGCCGAAGTTTGTGTAATTGAGCACCTCGTCCACAGTTCCATGGAACACCTGCATCTTTGGCCGCCAGCTGCTGCCATATCCGGGATATGCGGCTCTCACTATCGAGGTCCACTCGGCAGGGCTGTGCTGAACGCGTCCATCTGCACAGTCACTGTTCCAGTAAGCCACATCGCTTGTGTTGGCCGGTATGTTGGCGCCGTAGCACCCAAATGGGACGCCTGCAAAGGCAGAGCCTGCGGCAAAGACGTCGGGATAGGCGCCCACGAGGACGTTGGTCATCATAGCGCCTAGTGCCTGTTAATCACCTGCTACCGGCACCAAAGTGATGCAGTCTGGAACGTTTCGAAACATGGCAGACGGGGAACCGTAAAAGGAGAAGAATGGCGCTTACCAGAGCTGACACCTGTGACGAAGACGCGCGTGGCATCGGCCCCGTACTCCTCAAGCGTCCAGTCCACCATGCTCACGATCCCTTGGCTGTCCCCCCCTCCATCGTGGGTCAAGGTAGCCTCAGAAGATACGTCCCAGCACTTGTCGGCGAGATTGGGGCTGTCAGGATAGATAACAATGAACCCGTACTGAGAAGCCAGGTCGGCAAACTTGGAGCCGGCGAACGCGGAGGGTGCATCGCCGTGGCACCAGTGAGGGTTGACGAGAATCGGTGGGTTCGGCGCAAGCTGGTCGGGCACGTAGATGTAGAAGCCCACGTTGCTGGGGTTTTTCTCGAGCGTCACATTGAGCTTCTGAAGAGACGCGGCATGGGACAAAGGGAGTGAAGAGGCCAAGGCAGCCAGCATAGACGTCAAACGCGTCATGTTGGCGTGTCACGGCTCTGAGGCTTGTTTCCCGGATCCTTGCCTCTTGTCAATTCCGTAACTTTATGCCCAGAGCTAGCTTTTAATCGCTGCCTGCTCGAGCATCAATCGACCCCAAACGTGATTATGGGCTGAGTGGACGGTCGTCCCGGTTTTTGAGTTACAAGCACATAATCGCTTGACGATCATTATAGACGCATCTTATTTGTGCGAAGGACATTTTTGCCCTTCAACATTGGTCGGTGGCAACCAGAAAATTAGTCATAGACTGGCAGACATCCCAGCACTGCGGAGCTAACTGCTCCGAATCTGCATCTGCTAGCCGAAGATGACTAAAACTTTTGACGGACTGGGCTGCCGTCACGAGACATGCTCTCTGCTTCTTTAGTCGAGGTCAAGTTGACGCTATCGTCTGTCAGAGGAAGAAGTCATAAAGAGGGCTGGCAATCTGACGGGCGATGTAGACAAAGGCGCATAGGGGGAAGAAGAGTGCTGAGGCCGGCTGCTGCTTGTGTAAGCCGGCTGCCCCTGCACTCAGGCCCACATGCTCCGTCCCTACTTATTAGCTACCCGGTATTTTTGTAAATAGATTCAACAACTCATAGGCCCAACTGACCTGTCTAGTTGGTTCCAACAGCCTACTTACTCAGTCACGCCCTCGTAGGAAGCTATGTCCTCGAGCACATGCACAGCTAGACGAATACATTATCGGCGTTGTTCTCATCGCGTGATTCAGGGAATACTAACATGAAGAAGACAGTATGACACTATTACTGGGCTAGCTAGGGCTCACGCACCTCTTCGCGTCCTCCCTAATGCCGACCACCTGCCCTCCCCGCCCCCCTCAGGCCTCATCTAGATGAATCAAGAAATAAAAAACCTGAAAAAGACAGAGGTAGGAGGCAGGTAAGAAAACAAAGTAAAGATATTAACAATCCCCCACTTATTTTTCTAATCTTATATGAAATAACTACTACATAATACAGGAAAATTTAATAATCTTATAATAATTTAGCCAACTTTACTGATTGTGAAAAATTAAAGGTATTATTAAAATGGTTCGAGGAAAAATAACTAGCACGTGATTATAGAACTGCATAGCTTTCTGTTCCAGAATACGAGGAGTCGGTTGGCTATATACCTAGACCCATGACCTGCTATTTCGAAGGGTCCGTGGAGAGATACTAGGATGTCTTGTGGACTGCGTCTCTTCAAGTCAGGGGGCCAGATTTCGATATGTTGGAGGTAGTAGTATCGACGATGATGCTGAACATCCCGTACATCCAATTGTCGTCCCGAAACTCAAGTTCAGTCCAGGGTCTAGCAAGTCGAGAAATAGACGGGAGCCATGGTACTGATGAACTTCGAGTTGTGCATGTCTGCTCGCCTGGTCTGCGAGAGGACAGAGACCTCTTGTCTCCCGGAGGGTGTTGGCACCGGCCCGGAACGTTTCCATCGAACATGCGATTCTATTTTGCTCCTTTCGCCATGGTCGTTGAGATTATCCTTTACGGGGGGTTCTGGAGCGGGCATATAGGACCACTTGCCACACTCGAAATCCTCGAAATTGTGCAATCTCCAAAGTTATAAGCGTGATATTCCATCTCTCCTGCTCATCAACCACACCACAATCAGCATATCCAAGGAAAATGGTGGCCAAGTCTGCCTCAATTGTTCCGAAAGACGACTTGCAACGGCCACGCAATGAATGAAAGAAACGTGCTGAAAGACGTGATGGTTCCAGATGTAGACTATCAGTTCTCGCTGTAAACATGCATCTGCCTACCACACTGACAATCGTGTTGACCATTCGAGTAGTCAGTCCAGTCACATGTTTCTCCGGTAGAGGATCATCCTCATTGCCAGACTAGAGCAGCAGGTTTTGCAGTGAAAACGAGCAATGCAGCGAGCGGGCAAGATCAGGCAAGAAATTTGTGAACTCGACCAACTGGTCCGTGAAGTACACTTCATGTTCGATCGTTTCGATCCCTGCGGTTGATCCTTGGAATGCAAAGACGACGTCCCAAAAGACCAACTCGACGTCCTTGTTATAATCGACTTCCAGTGACTGAAAAGTTGATGATGCTTCCGCCTCGTGAAACTTTAGGATCCAGGCAAGCCATATATTCGATCAACAATATTGGTGCTTTCACAGTGCCTGCCCCATTGCAGGATTATCAGCATCGAAATGTCTTTGTCGGTCACGGCTGCTCTTGCTTGGATGGCGACCTTGGTGGTACGTGTCACGTCTCTTTGTACACCTAGCGACTTCGCTTCGTGATATACGTGACAGTACGCCAGGAAGAAGACTTCGAAGTCAATGGAAACAGAGCCAAAGTTAGGCTTGACATTGTTTCCCAGGCCATCTCTTGCACAATCTAGACCCGGGTCCAGAACTGCTATGATAGAACGTCGAGGATTGCTTGCCCAGATGTTCCCATGCCTAATTATGTTACCTCTCGAGATCCTTTCGGAAAGTATAGATAATTTGATCATTGAGCCGCTAAGCTGCTCATGATGGTGGCCCAGTTCGGCAACTGAGCAAAGAAGTTCTCACCGGCGTGACGATGTAGGGACACACGCTCTGCTATGAGCCTCAGAGACTCTGCCAACTTAGAAGTTTGGGACACCTCTTGCAATGGTAGACGTTTCGCAACCAAGCCAGGAGATTGTCTCCCCGGCCTCTGCATAAATGCCACCCATGCCCCGCACTTGTTGACCTATCTCAGTCTTATTGTCTTGATTAAGGCACAGGAAATCTGTCCAGAGCTAGGTTTCAGTCTCCTGGGATCTCTGCATTTCATCGAGGAATTCCCGTAGTGTCTCGTGGATATCAATGAGTGTGCCTCCGAGATATGCTGGTATCTGCTTGGTGTGTTTGGATTCACCCCAATAGTAGGACAGAGCGCTGTACGGCGGAAGGCGATCGTCGAATTGCTCCAGAATACAGGAAACGTGGCCACCAGCGCATTCAGATTCGATAGCGGGTTCATACTCAACCCTGAGAAGTTGAGTACTGGTGGGATACTTAAGAGGATGGTAACGTCCCCGGCCCCAATTCCGGCCGCCGCCCCCCCCCCCTTCCCGGCTGCCCTTATCAGAATTTTAAATATACAAATTTATATAATATATATATAAATATATATATACATATATATATATATATATATATATATATATATATATATATATAAAATATTTTTTATAATATAGTTTATTATTAAATAATTAATATTACTTTATAATTAATTTTTATAATATTATTTCATTTTTATTAACTTTAATACTTATTTAATGCAAAGAAATTAATTAAATTTAATATAAATTAATATTAATTACTTTTAATTTTTTATTTTTAATTAATTTTACTAATTTAAAATAAGTAATATAAATATAATATTAATTTAAAATAATTAATTTTTCATAAAAAATATATATTTAATATTATTATAATTTAAACTTTACTTATTATAATTAATTAATAAGCTTTAATCTTATAAAAATAAGCTTTAATATAAATATAAATAAAAAATAAACCTTTTTCTTTATACTTTTAATATAAACTTTATTTAAGCACTTTATAATAAATAACTTAAAGCTAGTTTATAATATATATTTAAAGTCTTTTTATATTATAAATTTATAATATAATTATATAAACTTAATATAGTAAAACTTAAAAAAAATAATGATAATTTATTAAGTTTTTTCTTATTTTAAAAAACTTTTATTTTAAAAATATTTAATAATTTAATTAATAAAGATAAGCATTAAATTTATAATAAATAAAAAAGTAATTAATATTAAAAGGGTTTAATTTTTTTATATATATTTAATTAATTAAAAACTTTTTATAATTAATTTTTATCTTATATTAATTTTATAAAGATATTTAAAAAATAATTAAAAAGCTTTTTAAAAAAAGTTTACTTTATATTTAAGATTTTTTTTTAAGTAAAGATATATTAAGCTTAATTTAATTATATTATAATAATATTATAAAAAGGAAATAATAAAATTTTTTATTTAATTTAATTAATTAGCTTATGTAATAAAGATTTAAAATTAATTAAATAAATATAAAATATTATTAATAATTAATAATTTAATCTTTATAATAAAAGCTTAGCTTAATTATAAAAAGTAATTAAATATATTTAAAGCCTTTTACTTTACCTTATAATAATATAAAAATATTTTTAATATTATAATAAAAGAAAATAATACTTATATTTAAGGGGTAAAAGCTATAAATATTAATATTATAATAATTTTAATAAATAAAGTTAAGTATTATATTTATAATTAACTTAATTATTATAAGTATAATTACTTAAATTATTATAAAAAATTTAAATATAACTTTTATTCCTTATTATTAATAAAAAAAAGGTATTTAATTAAGTTTATTTTTAATATATAAATATTATTTATAAGGTAAAGCATAAAAATAATGTTAACTTCATGTTAACTTAAGCTTAAAATAAGTAAATAATATTAATTAATTTAATATTATAAAACTTTTAAAACTTAAGAAATATTTATTAATAAAGCAAATTATTTATAATTAAATATTAAATTAATAATAAATTATATAATAAGTTTATAACCTTAAAATTTTAAATAAAAAAGCTTATATAAAAAGCTTAAATTAAAGGATTATAAAAATGCTATTAATTTAACTATTAATTTATATTTAAATAATTATTTTTATTAACTTACTTTAATTAATATATTAAATTATAAAAAATAAAATTATATTAATTATAAAAAATAAATTAAGCCTTTAATATATTAAAAAGCATTAAAATATACTTAAATAATTAAATAATAATATTCTTTATTTTTTATTATATAGCTATATTTTTAAGCTTATTATAAAATTTTAAAGAAAGAAAATATATTATAATTTAAGCTTTATTTATTATAATTAATTAACAAGCTTTAGCTTTATAAAAATAAGCTTTAATATAAGTATAAATAAGAAATAAATCTTTTTC